AGATCCTTCCTGAATGAACCACCCTTCCAGGTACCTACACCTCCCCAAGACTCCTTCTGTAATGACCACCCTTCCATGTACCTACACCTCCCCAAGACTCCTTCTGTAATGACCACCCTTCCATGTACCTACACCTCCCCAAGACTCCTTCTGTAATGACCGCCCTTCCATGTACCTGTCTTCACCACCTTAGAGCTCTTTGAAAGTCGCCATCCTCTCTCCCTACCTCCACAGTTCTTTCTAAAGAGAACCACCCCGGAGCCCACCATCCTTCCATGTTCCTGGATGCTCCAAGGTTCTTCTTGTAATGACCATCTCTAAACCTGCTGCTCTGCCATGTCCTCATACCCCAAAGGCTTTGTGTGATGACGACGCTGACCTCTCCACCCTTCCGCATCCCCGAGCCTGCCACCCTTCACCTCCATAGTCCTCTTCCTGTACTGACCTGAGCCCACCACCCTTCCATGTACCTCCCCTCCCCCCTTCGTACAGCAAACAGACGTTGGTTATGAAGAGTCACCAACTCCCTTCCCCACACAAGGCTGCCATGAAGGGCCACACACCCCCTCCAATGTCCACCTGTGAGGGGCCCCACTCAGCACCCCTCCCCCCACACAGGGCCCTCCACACTCCCCCCGCCCCCAATCTAGTGTCCTTACTAGGCCTCGCCCGCTGCGGGCTGATCTCCAGCTCGATCCTCCTCCGGGCCTCCCGGTTCTCCTGCTTCAGTTTGGCCTCCAGACGAGAGAGTTTCTGTTCCAGGGAGGACGCCGCCATCTTCCCTCCGCGCACTAATAATAAACAAACAGGCCAGTGCGCGTGCGCGAGGGGGAAGAAGGGAAGACTGACAGGTCCCCCACTGCGCAGGCGCGGCGGCCTGACAGGCGACAGCTTGACATCGGCGCCGAGGGAGGGGGAGAGACTGACAGCTGGCGGCGCGTGCGCGCTCCCGTGACGCTCCTGACCGAGCATGCGCCGGCCGAGCGGGTTCGCGTACTCGTGTACTGCGCATGCGTAGTAGTGTACTGTGGTCGACTAGAGCTCCAATCAGGGCGTAAATTGGCAGTTCTACATAGATTTGGCGATGTGCATGTATCTGGGATGGCTCTACTTGAGCCCACTGTTAGCGACAATAGTCGTTAAGGACGCTGTCTGAAGCTGATGGTTTCCTTAATTGCCAGTGATGCCCATTGCTAGCATTTTCAATTCAGCCATCAAGCTCCTCCCACTGCCAGCAGGGGGCATCATTGGTTGTTAAGGAGGCCGTCGAGAATTGAGTTCCCCATCAGCTCCACTCAGCTGTTGATTGACAGCAAGTAGTGGGAGCAAGTGGCATAGCCAGCCTACTATTGGCTATGATATCCGCCCACTGCCTGCTGTCAATCTGCAGCAGAGCGGACCTGATGGGGAACTCAGTTCTGTGACGTTCTCCTTAACAACCAGTGATGCCCCCTGCTGGCATTGGGCAGAATCTGATGGTGAATGCAGAGAACTGAGTGCCCCGTCAGGTCCACTCTGCTGCTGATTGACAGCAGGCAGTGGGCGGATATCATAGCCAATAGCAGGCTGGCTATGGCACCCGCTTCCACTACTTCAGCCAGCAGCAGAGAGGACCTGATGGGGAACTCAGTTTTCAGAATTCTCCATCAGGCTCCGCTCACTGTTAGCATCACTGGTCGTTAAGGACCTGCAGCTGACGGCTTCCGTAATGACTAGTAAAGCCCGCTGCTGGCATTGGGCAGAGCCTGATGGTGAATGCAGAGAACCGAGTTCTCCATCTGTTCTGCCCTGCTGCTGAATGAGCGCAGACAGTGGGCAGCTGTCATAGCCAATAGCAGGCTGGCTAATGTACCCGCTTCCACTGCCTGCTGTCAATCTGCAACAGAGCGGACCTGATGGGGAACTCAGTTCTCTGACAGCTTCCTTAACAACCAGTGATGCCCCCTGCTGGCGGGGGGGCAGAGCCTGATGGGGAACTCATTTCTCTGAGTTCCCCATCAGGTCCGCTCTGCTGCTGATTGCCAATGGCAGGCTGGCTGTGGCACAAGCCCACTGTCTGCTGTCAAAGCGGACCTGATGGGGAACTCAGTTCTCTGGACTACTCATCAGGCTTCCTCCCACCCACAGTATAAATCTTCTACCACTGCACCTGAATCAGGCCCAGCATTACTGAGTGGCACGGAGGACGGCGCGTCCAGTAGGCACACTCCAACCTCACTGCGCCTCTGCACCGCAAATGCCGGTGCTTGCACCAAATTCATGTACCCGTGTGCAACAGACACATGAATCTGGTGCAAGCACCGCCGTTTGTCGTGAATATGTGAATGGGAACACACAATCATATAGAACTACAAGTCTCTGACTCCTCGAGGCGCAGGCATGATGGCATTTGTAGTTTCAGCACAGCTGGAGTGCCAAGGTTTCCTAGCCCCCGCTCTAGGGAGGAAATGGGCGCATTACTGTACAGAAATTATCGTTGATGATTCCTGGCAGGGGAGACTTTCAATCCCATAGATATGTTGGGGAAGATGCCTTCTTAGTGCTCAGTCCTTGTTTGGAGATACAGTGCGGGCTGCAGACAGGGTGAATGTAAACAAAGCAGTGTTAACACCGTCTCGGGCATGGCAGCTCTTGGGGCGCAGGGATAGAAGTTGCAGAGATGGGAGCTTCTGTCTGCAAGGTTTCCTGGTGTTCCCGATATGTGAAGAGTGAATGTGTTTTATAAGTGATCTAATGTTATCTATTAGTACAAGCAACAATATTTCAACCCCAATGGTTCCTTGTCAGGTTGTTACATACATTATATTGGCAAAAGTATTGGGACCCCCCTCCCCCTATACAATCACACACCTCGGCATGCAGACGCTTCTACAGACATTGGTGAGAGAATGGGTCGCTCTCAGGAGCTCAGTGACTACAATTGTGGTACCGTGATAGGTTGTCACCTGTGCAATAAGTCCATCCGTGACATTTCCTGGCTACTAAATACTTCGCGGTCACCGGTTACTGGTATTATAACAAAGTGGAAGCAACTGGGAACAACAGCAACTAATATGTGTGTGTAAAGGTGTCACAATACTTTTGGCAATATAGTGTATGTATACATAGAACATTGAATCTATGTAAAAATAATATAAAATAACCAGCACAATGTGGAATCTGTTATAAGACAACTCCATCTATATTGTATTCTGTTCCCATGTTCTGGACAGCAGATATAAGAATGTAGACTATCTACAATGCATTGTATAAGGCTGTCACTCCTGCATACGCTCAGGTTGAAGTAGGTGTAGAGCATGGGGAGGACCTCAGCAGGAGGAAGGATGAGAGCGCCAGGAAGACCCAAAAAGGATTAGAGTGTGCAAGAAGGACCTGAGCAGGAAGAGAGAGTAGGGAGGAGCTTGGCAGGAGGGAGTACAGAGAAGGCCTCAGCAGGAGGAGAGAGCAGAGAGGACTTTGGCAGGAAGAGAGAGCAGGCTGGACCTTGGCAGAAGGAGGAGAGAGCAGGGAGGACCTCAGCAAGAGGAGGAAAGAACAGGGAGGTCCTCAGCAGGAGGAGAAAGCAGAGAGGACTTTGGCAGGAAGAGAGCAGGCCGGACCTTGGCAGGAGGAGGAGAGAACAGGGAGGACCTTGGCAGGAGGAGAGAGCAATGTTGACCACGGCAGGAGGAGGAGAGAACAGGGTTGACCTCGGCAAGAGGAGGAGAGAGTAGGGTAGACCACAGCAGGAGGAGGAGAGAACAAGGTTGACCTTGGCAAGAAGAGTAGAGAGTAGGGTGGACCACGGCAGGAGTAGGAGAGAACAAGGTAGACCTTGCCAAAAGGAGGAGAGCAGGGTGGACCTCAGCAGGAGGAGGAGCGAACAGGGTGGACCTTGGCAGAAGGAGGAGAGAGCAAGGAGGACCTCAGCAGGAGGATGAGACAGCAAGGGGGACCTTGTCAGGATGAGAACAGAGATTGGGCATCTATAGGAGGTAGAAAGCACAGGCAGGAGAAAGCAGGTCACATGTCCACACTGCCATATCTGGCAAAGCCGGTGCTTCGAATTTGGGATAGAACTCTTGATAAATATAAACTCTCGGCTAAACTAGGGCCCCTGACTCCCATTGCGGGTAACCCACAATTCCCGCCGGGCATGTGGGCGGTTTCTTTTCTGAATATTGAGAACTTCTCTTATGCACGTGCATGGCAGGTCTTAGAGAAAGGGAAAGAAGAACTGAAAATAGAACTTAGACCAGAGAGACAAACAAATGGAAAATCATGGTTAGAGGCAATGCAGTTATTAGATTATATTAGATGTCTTGGGGCTGGTAGAACTCTGAATAGATCATTTACACCATTCGAGAAACTATGTTTGAAGGAGACAACTTCTATTTTTAAGAGCCCGTGGAACGTGCGTCTAAAACGAACTCCCCTGTGAACAAAAAAACGTGCACAAGGATGCTTGGTCCTTCAATAAAGAAGGGACCTCGATTCCCGACCCCCCAGGGGGCACAAGGCTCCTGACAGGTTTTGAGACTGTTGGTTCACCTACCCGAAGGCAGGCGGACCCCGATCCTTTGGGGACCTGCCGGAGCAGGTCCCTCACAGTACTGGGTTGGGGGATCTCCCGAAGAGAAACCCCCAGGGTGGGAGGAGACAGAGAGCCCTATATAAGGGCACATAATCTCCTCCCTAGCATCGGGAAAAGGCCCCGAAGGAACCTGCACCCTAAGCAATCTGTGGGTCAGACTTTAAAAAATAAAAAAGTGCCAAATCGTGCATGAGGTGCCAATAAATAATCGTGCATGAGGTGCAATAAATAAACATAGAGTGCCAGTGCACCACGCTGACAGGCCCTAGGGGCCAAAGTGCAAAAATATTGCCCCGGACTAGCCATAAGGCCTGTCACGGATGCGTTGTGCAGAAAATGCAATGTGATGTCGTGACCAAGTGTATCAGTGAGTCAAAGTGGGGTCCCACACCCAAGTGACTTTCTGAGCACCCCTAGGATGCCACCCCCATAACACCACGGGCTCTGCTGCCTCCCAACCCTCCAGTCAGATCAAGCTTCGCACCCATTCCCATCAGAAGGTAGTGCCGTCCGTGATCCATCCCTACCACCGGTGACAAGTCCAGCATCACCAGACCAGAATCTACCCGGGAGGGACTGTACCCCATCCGACACCCACCAATTACACCAGAGGGTACTAAGCCACAGTCCACCTTTCTACATAGGTGACCGTGTCCTTTCCCCTCCGGCAACTGATAAGAACAGATACTACACTTGATCTTAGCCAAGAGGCCGACAACTACTGAACATGCATTGTCGGTGGTGTATGGTCTGTTGAGAGAAGTGGAGGCCAAAGGGCATACAAAATATATGAAGAGATGGGAACAAGACCTGAGGAGAGTGATATCAGATAACGATTGGGAAAGAATATTCACTATGACACACAGCTCAGTTACATCCTCATTTCATCAGATGGTACAGGCAGAGGCGTCACAAGGGGGGTGCTGGGGGTGCGGCCCGCACCCGGGTGACACCATTGAAGGGGTGACACCAAAATGACTCACAGTCATTTTGGTGTCACCCCCCTCTGAAAAGTCGGGCGCTCGGTCATGGACCGAACGCCCGACAGTATCAGGAGAGAGGAGGGGACACAGCAGCATACCTTATCCCGCGGGGTGACTGTCCCTTCCTCTCTCTGCCGGCATCCATCACCAAGATGGCCGCCGGCAGGTATCAAAATACTGCAGCGCGTGTGCGATGACGTAATTGCGCACACGCGTGGTGACGTCACGCGCATGCGCGGTGACGTCTCGGCGGGGTGACACTCGGACACCGCTCCGGGTGTCACCCAGACTCGGGATGCCCCTGGGTACAGGTGCCCAGAAGGAATTAAATATATCAATCCAGATATATCAGATAGATGTTGGAGGTGCAATATTGAGCACATAGGGAACGTATTTGCATATCTGGTGGAGCTGTCCTGGACTGCAGACGCATTGGGATTTAATATTCGAAGTATATCGTTCCATAGGGACCCTAAATATTGAGAAAGATCCCACAATTGCATTACTATCACTAATCCCTGGCCCTATAAAAAAAATAAAAACAGACATTCTAAGATTTGTATTGGCTGCAGCTAGAGTCAACATTTCCCGTAGTTGGAAATCTGTGGATATACCTACATTGGAGAGTTGGGGGAGTACGATGGAGGAAATAAGACTCATGGAGGAGTTAAGTCAGGGGCGACCCGAGGCTGGGTGACACCCGGAGCGGTAACCGAGTGTCACCCTGCCGAGACGTCACAGCGCATGCGCGTGACGTCACCACGTGTGTGCGCGATGACGTCATCGCGCGCGCGCGGCAGTATTCTGATACCTCCTGGCGGCCATCATGGTGATAGACGCCGGCAGAGAGTGGAGGGGACAGTCACCCGGCGGGATAAGGTATGCCGCCGGGTCCCCTCCTCTCTCCTGATACTGTCGGGCGTTCGGTCCATGAGCGAGCGCCCGACTTTTCAGAGGGGGGTGACACCAAAATGACTCTGAGTCATTTTGATGTCACCCCTCCAATCGTGTCACCCGGGTTCGGGCCGCACCCCCCTTGTGACGCCACTGGTTAAGTGCCAAGGATGCGGATAGAATGGATAAATATGACAAGATATTGGAGAAGCGGGAAGTATATAGACAGACAGAGAAATTTGGAGAGATTGGTAAAAAAGGATAGAGAGGAAAGGAAGAGACTTAGAGGTGTAGCTCCAGCAGTGCCACAGAATCTATAAGTAAATACACATTAGGGCTTAATGTTATTGGTACGAACCTCAGAGAGGTATAATTAAATAATACCCTGTTTCCCCAAAAATAAGACCTACCCCGAAATTAAGACCTAGTACAATTTTTGGGAATTGCTAAAATATAAGACCTACCCCGAAAATAAGACCTAGTTGTGACCATTCCCAGGGCCGGTGGTCGCATAAGGGGGAACTTGAAGAGCCGCGGGAGAGAATCAGCGGTGCCAACGACGCCAGCGCTAGAGGAAGCGAGGCGGCGGCACCGCAGGGAGCAGAGCCGCATGAGCCGGTGTTTCCTCTATAGCGCCAACTCCTGTCACAGGCGGAGTGATACCAAATGCACGATGCATGATACCTGTGAGGAATCTATAGTGAAAGTGCACTTCGCTCATTCTGGTTACCAAAATTGCTCTTGGAAAGGTACGGCACCTGATCACCCTATTTTTAACTTTGCCATTTTGGATTATTTAATTTGGATTTACATTAACTTTGGATTGTTATACATTTAAAAAAAAAAAAAAAGACATCCCCCGAAAATAAGACCTAGTGTGTTTTTTGGAGCCAAAAAAAATATAAGACAGTGTCTTATTTTCGGGGAAACACGGTATTATGAGATATTTATTTTTTTCTCTAATTAGTTTTATAGCACTAGACCTGTAAAGTATGGAAGAGTAGAGTAGATGGAAGTTAGTATGTTGAGCTAGGGGGGGCTCGAGAGAGAGGATATAATTTTTGGAGAGTTAATTAGGATAGGGGGGGTGTGAGTAATAGTAATAGTTTTTCACAAGATTTAGATATAGGGTACACATTAATGCACACCGAGAATACACCGAACACAAGCAACTGAGGGAGGGTAAGGGGGGTTAGGGAATAAAGGGGTAATAACATAATTAAAGTAGAATATAACTGACTATAGACACTGTAGTATAGATCACATATAAAGAGAGAACACCAAGTAGGATGAGGTATACTTATAAAGCAAGGTTTACGAGGGCACGAGGGTTTAAAATATGGTTTGAAGAATTAACACTTAAGGGGTTTATATAATTTCTTTATATAATTCCCCTCCCCCCCCAGAAGTAGGAATGATAGGTGAATAAATGCGAGAAGAGAGAAGTAAAGAAGATAGGGATGTTAGGAGGCTGGGTAATGCAAATTGAATGAATAAGTATGCAAGGTAGTACAAGAAATGCAATTGATATCTACACTGAGGGGCCAGATTATTATGACCACCCCATCAGTACTTCGTTGGGCCGCCTCGTGACCCCACGAGATGATGAAAGGTCGTGGTAAACAACCTGCTTCCCTATTTATAATGGTCTGGCCCTCTAGCAACTTCAGCGCAAAATTATAGCTAATTTGCCTACAAACGTCAGGTGGTCATAATAATCTGGCCACTCAGTGTATATGGAGAGATGTATAGTTTAAGTTAAATACGAGAGTAAATTATACTGTAATATATATGCATTTCTGCTTTTTTTAAACATATACTTGTATAAATGAGTTTATGAGGAAAAATAATAATAAAGAACTATATTGATTAAAAAAAAAAAAAAAAAAAAAAAAGACCACCCCAGTTTACCCCT